AATATATTCTTGACAGCTTCAAGTGGCAGACGAATATTTGCTACCTGGATGACATTGCGATCTTTTCAGACAACTTTGTGATGCATATTCATACATAAAATCGAAGCTATCGTCACTTGCCTCGGCTGCAATGGCTTCAGCGAACGAAAGCGGTTTATTCTGGGCCCCCCCTTCACCCAAAATGGCGCTCTACCGAAGCCCACGACACTTCGTGCTGTTGCTGCATTTCCTAAACTGACAATGAGATGAGTTCGCAACTTTCTGTGCCTTTGATTTTACTTTACACGTTTCATTCACAGCTATCCAACAATTAAAGCACCTTTTACAAATCTCCGCAGCAGCCGCCTTTGAGCGTGGTCACTCCATGTGGCGACGCAACCAGAAACTACGCTGCATTATTATGTCACCTCCAATCTCACGAAATTTTGATCTGCTCGCCCCAAGTAAGAGACAGAGAAAGTGTATTTTATTTTGACAAGAAAGTGGCAAGTGCCGAAAATGAAACAAGTTCTATAGGACACTGGCGGTGTCGGCTTCGGCACTTTGCTTGCCCATCGCAAACGTGAGTTTGAAGAGTTAAGCATGTTTTACATGTGAGCGACTTTGCTCCAAGAACGGAGTGGCAGCCGCTGCCATATTCCTAAACAGGTTTCTACAGCGATGGCTGGTGGCTCTAATGAAATTCGCCGTAGTTGGAAAACTTCGTTCACGGCATTAGCGGCAGAGCGACCAGTGACGCGGTTGACACGCGACGCCAGGGGCGTAGTCGACGATTGGACGCACGCGCTGTAAAGAACTGGCTCCACAGAACAACACGCTCCAACTGAGTAGCAGACGACATCAGTCCATTCCTCGGCTGGCGCTGCCTTCGACGAGTTGCCCACTGCAGAGGCAGTGAAACGTCCTTTCCTTTGATATGTCAAGATGAAGGATTTCCGCAACCAGCATAAGAACATTCTTTGGGAAGAAATCGCCGAGCTCGTCCTTAAAGAAGTCGCACACTTCCATAAATGAAAAGTCGTCGCTGGAACTAACGTGTTCACTGGTGAAGTCGAAGTGCCGCTCTTTTCCTTTCGTTGCTCTCGAGAAAGTTTCCGCCGAAGTTACAATAGTGCAGACGTGCCTTTTTTAATATATATTATTATGCTTTTTTCTTTTTTTGTATTTTTATCACATGCTAACTCCCACGTGGAGGAGCCGCATGGCATGCCGTACTTCTCTGTCACAGCAAGTGTTGGTGATTTAACAAAAAAACTTTGTGACACGGTGCACAGCTCATAGGGTTAACACGTAAGAAAGAGCAAGGCTGGCTCTACGAATGTCGCCTTGAGAAGTAGCATTCCACACATGCAGGTCACTGAAAAGGAATTTTGTGATTTGTCTCAACAAGGAGAGGGCGCGAAGCGTGCTGTCACGGTTCGGGGAAATAAGGCATTATCCAGGGGCATTTATTTCTGTTCTCTTCCCTTCAACAGCTCCATCTCTCACTAAAACCCAGGCTCACTTGTTGGAGTCCACTTTGGACAGCCTTAGGGGAAGGTTGTGTTTTCGCGCTGCGCGCCTTGTCACTGCCTCTCCTTGCGCAAGTCACTCCCCAACTCCCGAAGTGAGCGGTCGCTCGCGGGCCGCGCTCGTAAGGAGTACGGCTCGCGTACTCGTCCGCGGCCCCACCGCAGCGATGCGTGCGCGTCAGCGTCTGTGACGGACTTCTCCCCGGACTTGGACTCTGTGCCCCCTGCTGTGGATTGCCCCTGAGGTTTCTTTTCCGCGATGCTGGTCGCTGAGTTCATTCTGATACCTCTCGCATGTTTACGCGGCCGACCGGCGTGTGTCGCAGCGCAGGGACGCAATTCTTCGTGGATACTATAGTAGCGTGACTACTTCACTTGTGTGAATCAGTGATCGCGCTTACTGTGCATTCCCAGTGCTGCGAACACTTGTAGTCCGACAATTTCATGCACTTTCTGGATGTTCGCTACGTTTGTGTGTTGGGTTCAACGGCTTTGTGAACGAATGATCATGAGCACCGGACACTACACCGCCTCAACTGAAACTATCCAACGAGCGGCCCTCGCCACTAAGGCGATGCGAAGAAACGACTCCTTCCCACCACTGCTCGAGACCCATGCTCGGCGTTTCACTCGTTACGGGCATCGCCGCAGTGCCAGCACATCGCTGATACACTTTGTGAGCCCTTCTCCCTCCTTTCCACAGCCATCCGGGCGCAGGACCTTAATCGAAGTGTGCTGATGACCGCGCGAGACAGTGGCTTACACTTAAATCCCCCATTCCGGGATGGCCACCACAGCAGCCTTCTGCGCCAGTCGTCAATATGGCAATGCAAGAAGGCATCTCAAATGCATTGAAGGTCCCTCTCGAAGGTGAAGCTGCAGCAGAGGCCTTGAATGAGGCCTACCCAGCGCTGCCCGAGCCTTCGGACGGGGTGGATGACGCCTTAGAATTGTCCACTACACAGAAAAGCCCTTGAGCACAGTACAGTAGTGATGACAATACACCACGTAAGCTGGTCGTGGCTTCATGCAACAGGACCCCTCAGAAGATTGCCGAATCCAGTAGGAGTAAGGACAGTGCACCCCCACACGGGAACTCTGCAGCCAACCCTGAGCAGAACCCTTATAGTTGGTGCACACCGGCGACTAGCTGTGGTCGCGTGACCATTTGCGACGCGACCAAAAAGTGACTGATGTTCACACCGGCAGAGGCTGCATGCGAGCGACCGGAAGTTTCAAAACCAGAGAGTCACGTCCGGATCTCGTTATCAGCGATAACTTGGGAGACCGGGGCCGATCAGCTGATCGCCGCCAGCTGAATGAGCGGAGTAAACCGAGCGTGCCGCATTTGTTTTCGTCCGTTCTCGCACAGTGTTCCCAGCAGCGCCAAGGAGTTCGATTCAAGCGAAGAACAAGATATTGTCGTAGCACTGATGTGCTATGCCATGGTTATGGCCATGGTGTTAGCGCTGGCAGCACAGAGGCCTCCAAAAAAAAAGCCGGTAGTTTGTGTGACCGTCATTTCGCTCGCGAAAGTTGGCCGGTCATGCAAGCCGCCTACTCCCCGAGCTGCGCACTGTGCTTGCGTCTGACGGCGTTCGAGAATGGTGACTGCGCACGAGTAACACCGAAGAGACCCCAGCCAAGGACGCCGAGCACAAGCGTCTTCAACGCGCCCACCGCTCTGCTTCGTGCATGCCCCACCAATGACCCGCCACGTACGGCGACTATCCAGGAGACTGAGAGAGACACTCGTTCTCTGCGTACCCCGGCACAGCCCGCGCAGCGGCCAATCGGAAGAGTAGTGGTGCAGCACCCTCTAGAATATCCTCACTCAACTGCAGTTTGTATGTACTTTTATGAGACAGTGCCGCCAATTATAATGTTTTGCAAATACGGCCTTCTTTTTGTTCTCGTCTCTTCTTCCCCCGGTTACGCGTGACGCATGGCAAACTTAGACTAAGAGGAGCGTCACCTCTAACATATGCTTCGCATTCGAACTCGCACCGCGACGTAATCATCGAGCTTGAGCTAGCAGCTCGCTCACTCAACAAACTTGGCCATAACAACAGTCTGGCGCGCAGCTATAAGCAAGGTGTTTTCAAGACACTGTGATTCAAGACGTGAGTCGAAGATGCGACTGTGTTGTAAAAACCTACATTTTGGAACTATTTTTTGTCACGCAGAAACATGATTGTGGGCTCAAGTCAAAGCTTATAATAGTCGTCGTACTGCTCAGATCTCCGAGAAATTTGCAGGATTCTGTCTAGTTTTTTTTTTTTCAGAAAAAGTTTTTTTGTCCCGAAAAACAAGGTTCGATTTTTGTAGCTTCCGTAGGGTCCCATTAAGTGAACATCGTGTGAACGGAATCGGAAGCTCCAATGTTTTTGGAGTTTACGCCCCTACGATCTTTTATTGTTGAAAAATGACCTCATCCCATTGAAAACATGAGAGTTTCTAGCCGTGGCCACGAGGAGCGCTAATCAGTCAGCGTCTCTGACATCGTTTGAGTGCAAGGAAGCGATCAGCAAGATAGAGTTTGAGGAGCGATAGAGAAAATGGGAGAGGAGCGTTGGGCTAGGAAAGTTTTCAGCTACTTGTAAATAAAGAATGTTGATACTAAATGCAGGTAGCGAACTCGAAAACTGTCAAGCAAGTATTTAGTCAACAGCAGAATACCAAGCCGAAAAGAAACATCGGTTAGAAGAAGGTAAAGGTAGAGAGGGACACGTGGAAGATGGGAACGCTTACGAAATCATCTCTGGAGACCTACCCAACATTTAAGCAGGAAATTGCAAAAGAAAAGATCTACGATAATTCTCGGGGTAGTTCTCTGCTCTTCGAGGCTAGAACGGGAGTATTGTGGACCAAGACGTATCAAGCAAAACACGAAGGCACAGGCGCGGTACGTAGTGCGTGTGGAGAGGAGGAGGAAACAGCTGAACATTTGATAATGTTCTGTAAAGGGCTTCGCTCTATGGTCCAAGATAATGGCGCCAAATTTTTCAAAGCGTTGGGGTTTAGGGGCTGTGAATGCAAAATAGAATTTAAACGGTTAAAAATAACCACGAGGAGGCTAACTGATTGGTGGCTACAATCGAGGTGCGAGTGAAATTCAATCCTTAAACACACAGTGATAGTACTTTACTTTATGGCAAGGCGGCCTGAGCCACAACCCGATCTAAAGGGCACAGCCGGATACAAATATCCATCCATCCATCTATCCCTCAAAGCTTGATATGTGTAGTGGAGAGTAAGTAGGGGCGAGTGGTTCATGTTTGAGTCTTTTCACAAGCTTTCGCTGGAAAGTAATCCCTCGTAAATATAAACAATAATCTAATGGCTGGTGTCAGCAGGCTATCGTCACCGAAGATGAATACGGCAGAAGACAGATCGTTTTTTTTTGCCATGTGCAATGATTGTCGCGGGACTCAATATATTCCTATATGCTATGCTAACACACAGTTTCTGTGCCGTGCCCTTTCGCAGACGCCGTCCGGTGGGCAGTGGTACTTGCAGGTGCTGTACTCGGTTGTCCCTCATGGAAGAGGCGGACATCGTCAACGGCGAGTGGTGACGAGGGTTTCGCCGAGCAACGATGCAGAAACTGCGACCGACATGCACTCCTTCCGCATAAGCCACAAGTCGCATCGGGCCGGTGGCACCTTTACAGGCACAGCGCTAGCAGCAGGGAGCTCAGCGTTATTGGTGCTGCTCCTTTCCGGCTGGGCCACATACCGTTACCGCCGAGCCGTCGTTGCATCAACTGCAGCCACAAGTGCTGGCGCGAGAAACGGCGGTCACTATGCCGCTCTGCAAGACCACCATCACCACTGCCGCCATCACAATCCTTCTTCGTCGAGCGTGCGAGGAGTTCGTGTGCTGACATGGCATCCCGTGATAGACACCACGCATTGCGATGCCACCGAAGTGTGACATTGAAACGATCTAATGCGCAGCCTTTCGCCCCCAACAGTTAAGTGGACACTGCCCTCGTTTGGTGCGTCTTCAGACTCCAGAAGTGGGAACTGTAGTCATCGTTCACGTGTATCACATACGTTTTCGAACAATACCACGTGATTGTTCGTGTCGGCTGACTTTGTCATCATATATGTGTGCATGCGTGTTTGTCAAATATGGAGACCCACTGTGTAACATGCATGGCTACGTTGCTTGATATCGAGGAAGATACCAATGGCTATATGCAGTGTGGATTTTCATTCTTTAAAACAAACATTACTTGGCTCCAAAAAGGACATTCCGTTGGGATCATTTCTTTACGTTTTAATACAGCATGTAAAGAAAATGACGTAAAAAAGGGAAAGATGGAAGACTCTTTAATGAATTGTTGATGTTCCTACCAGCGTACACATTAAAGAGGTCCTTCAGCACGTGTTTACGTAGCCATGGAATCAATTCAATAAAGGAAATTATTGCCTACTCACGAGTTCACCAACGCAAAAAACAATTTCACAATACGTCCAGTACGAGTGGAGGTATAAAGATTTCTCGTACGTTGCAATTACATTCTCTCTTCTCTCGTCCCGAAGAAAGCACTGGTAGCAAAGCATTACACTGTACCCATAGAGAAATAGCACGGGGAAAGAAAAAAAATAGTCATGCGCCTCGTGACGTTGACCACTTTCTCTCTCTCTCTCTCTCTCTCTCTCTTGTTTTTTTTTTATTCCAATACGTGGCTTTTGATTACGATCACGCGCAAATGTGTGGACAAGTCACAGACTTCCGTGGCTGCCCCATGCGACCAAGCACCCCATGCTCAAATCACCCATTTGCTGATACAACTAGTAATTTTTGAGATTTTAGCGTCATTTGTCGAGAAGAGAGAAAGCAATTTTCAGCCGATTTTGAGAACTTATCGTGAATGGCAGGCCCCGTGCGACCCTAAAACATTTTGCACGCATGTTCACAGGAACCTCGACTATCGATCAGCAGCGTTCTCTGACCATGTTCAAAAAGTGTTGCAGGGCCTCTTCAAGAAAAAAAGTCTTTTGACTATTTTTGTTTGAGAATTCTGGCTTGCCACTCATATGACTCTTTTTAAAGAGGCACATCAACTCTCCTCAGGAACAATATAATTTCTTGTGAGAGTTATGTAATCCTTAAAAGAGTTATAACGCGTACTTCTCTAAATATACTCGACTGCGTGGCAAGTCAGTACTACGCGAAAGGAGTCGCCCATAGTTTTTTTTCCTTTGAGTGTAGTGTACAATGACTCCAATATGCTGCTCTGCGTCGGAGGCAGAAACTATTAAAGAAGAAGCCGAAAAGACAAAACGATGAACGAGTCGGTTGTGCAAGTGCTTTTCTCTAGTAGGGTAATTTATGGGCTATTGTAAACTGTGTGGTGATAAAATGTAAGCGTATGAGATAAAATAACTATTTCAATGTACTCGAATTTTTAGATCTCCTGTTAGGCCGTCTAAAGCTTCATCGAGTTCCCGCTGGAGGACCACAGACAGCTATCAGAGTCACGTCTGTCTTAGGCAGCTTAGTTTTCACTGAGAGTCATTCAACATTGTGGAAGGAAATGTTCACTGATAATTCTTTTCTTAACAAACAATGCTAAACCGTCACCTCGTCTCTTCAGTTGTGGTGTATACAATGGGCCCCCGTCATTCAAACATGACTGTGCCTTTATCATGTAAAATGTATTTGAATATAGCAAATATTTCAAGAAAGTTGTTCACCGATACAGCCATCATTCTGAATTTCTCAAGTATTTTTGCAGGCTCCGACTGATGCCAACAATACTGGGAATATACGCTCACTGTCGACATCAAAAATGTTTTTAGGCTCAGAGAAATTTCGCACAGCGCAAAAGCCCATAGCCGTGGGCGCATTTTTGGCTTTCTTCAGCAAAATCGTTCCGAGTTTCACGATAAACATTCACACTCATTGTTATTTTTTTCTTGCTGGTGTTCTCGCTCGCCAGACCACATTGCGTTCCCCGCCGCGGTTGTCTAGTGGTTATGGCACTCTACTGCTAACCCTAACGTTGCGGGATCAAATCCCGGCTGCGTTGCTGCACTTAAGATGGAGGCGAAGATGTTTAGGGCCCGGGTGCTTGGATTTAGGGGCACGTTAAAGAACCCCATGTAAATTTCCGGAGCCCTCCACTGCGGAATCTCTCATACTCAAATGGTGGTTTGAGGACGTTAAACCTCTGACATTATTAAATTTCGACGCATTGCGATTTATTCTTTTGAGATTATACATGAACGAAAAATTCTCGGAGGCTGTTCGTTTTAGTGAAAACTTTTGATTTATCTTTTTATCAAACAAATCTCTTTCTGTCTCGGAAGAAAAACTATCAACACGCGCAATATGCCAGTGACATTAAGTATAGAAAGTAGCGTGCATGTGAATACGAATGCATTGTAGGCGTGATGCAAAAGAAATGAAGAAAGAAAGCACTTTCTATAAAGTTTCAATAAATGCTGTACAAAATAAAATAAAAACCTTCTGCAGCATAAAAAGCGAAAGCATCGGAGAGCATTGCACATACCAGAAAAATAAAAACAAAGTTTGAGAAATTTTGAAACTAAACACGCGTCGTAGTTCAGCCGCTTCAAGCGCTGTTAGATATGCTCTCGAATTCTAGACGAAGGGTCTCCGTGCATAGTCTCATAAAAAATTGCTAGGGACGGCACACAACTTTCCCATAGTAGAGCACCTAGTGCTCTAAATCGTTAACTACTATTTCTAAAAACACGTTCCTAACCCGTGGCTCCGTCACGGTTCTCAGTGGTCATGAGATGCGACTTGGACATGCAAAGACCACATTGTTAACGTCAGAGCTGGCGTCGTGTCCCTCTGTATGATGCGAGAGCTACATAAAATTCTCGCAGCAGCGTAGGAACGTACAGTAAAAGCATTGGTCTATTAGGCAAGGCATAGCGGTAAAGTATATTCGCTTGACGACATATCTGGCTTGAAAAAACACAGTTCCGAATTCTTTACCGGGTGATGTCCCCTTACCTCGAACTGTATGCATGCAATGAGTAAGCGCCGGGAAGCTTATTCGCACCTTTACTATAAAGAATGGAGTGAAAGCAGATTGAATCATCTCCATCCAGATCCAGCTTGTACTACCGACGTAGTCTAATAATAAGAATATCTGGGGTTTTACGTCCCAAAACGAAGATATCATTAGGAGAGACGCCGTACCGAAGGGCTTCGGAAATTTCAACTATCTGGTGTTCTTTGAATGTACTGACATCGCACACTACATGGGCCTCTACCATTTTGCCTCCACCTAAATGCAACCATCGCTGCCTGGATGGAATGCGCGCGACCTTCGAAGTTAGCAGCCATTACCTTAACCACTGCTCCAACGCGGCGGACTACTCGCGTATTCCGATCGCCACCCCTTCAATAGGTGGAACATCGCTAGCAAGGCGTGCACCATTAGAACACGAAAAAAAAAACAAGTCATACAAACGGCTCATAATAAGCTTGTTCAAACATTCGTAAAAGTTGATGTGTTCATTTCTTATATGGCGTCACCTTTCAACGCTCCGATTGCCTGTAGGAGCCGACTCGCACCGGCGGTTTGTCATGGTGCGGCTCCCGGTGTACCTGACGCTGGCTTTCCCGGCATTTGTCGCAGTCGTGGAGGATCCGGCCCCTCGATGGATGAGCGTGAGGCGGCGCTCGCAGCTGGAGCTGAGCTTCGCGTACGTGCCGGCTATTTTCTTTATTCTTTATTCAATGATTACCCCACTTAGCCCGAAGGCGCTGGAGCAGGGGGGTTACAATGTCGAGAAAAACACATCTTCATTAATACAGCACACTTGTTCATTTGATAAGTGATTTCATTCTCTAATGGAACGAACAAAAAAACGAATTAGCATACAAATTAGATATGGTACGCTACTATAAAATCTTGAAACAATGATCATTTCGCGAAGAGATATAATGAGGACTGTGAAGGTACTTTTCTTTTCGAATGCCGGTTTTACCATGAAATATTTGGTACAGGAGCTTTAGCCGCAGTTTCTTTCGACGCGATGAGAGTAATTCCCACCCTAGTTCATTTTTCATATTGGTGCAACTGTCATTTCTTGAGTACCGGCTTAGGACAAACCTTGCAGCTCTATTTTGTATTTTTTCAAGTTTGTAACTTAAAGTACTTTGCCAGGGGTCCCACACGGTACAGGCGTATTCAAGCATAGGGCGAATGTATGTTGAATAGATGTATTTCAATTGTATGTATTTATACATGTATTTCAAATGTATGTATTTCAAACATGCCGGCGCTTGTGTCAGGCTGCGCTGTATAAAATTTAGTGACTTGGCGGCCTTCGCAACAACTGAATCAACGTGTGCATTCCATGAACAGTCGGCTGAAAAAGTTAGACCTAAATATTTATAATGCTGTTTTTGTGTTACTATACTATTACAGATTACATACTCTGAAGCTAACTTGGTTTTTTTAGGCGTGAAAGTAACATGAATGCATTTATTGGCATTTAAAGTGATTTTCCACCTTGAACACCATTCTTGGATGCGCGATAAGTCGCTTTGGAGCAGGGCGACATCACTCTCATGTTTAATTTTTCTGTACAAAACACAGTCATCTGCAAATAACCGTATATTAGAATCAATTCCTGAGCAAATGTCATTTATATATATTCAAAATAAAACTGGCCCTAGGACTGAGCCCTGTGGCACCCCTGGAGTGATGTTTACAAAACTTGATTTTTTGCCATTTAATACTACACACTGTTGGCGGCCTGAAAGGTAATTATCTATCCACACCAGAACTTCGCGGTCAATGTTTAGCGCAGCAAGCTTACTTAAAAGAAAAGAGTGCGACACAGTGTCGAAAGCTTTTCGGAAGTCCAGGAAAAGCAATCGATTTGTCCACTATTGTCTATTTCAGATACTAAATCATGGTTAAATTCAATTATTTGTGTTGTACAAGATTAGCCCTTACGAAAACCATGTTTTTGAGACGCCAGCAAGTTGTTTGTTGATAAATGTGCCATTATTTCTTTATAGAGAATATGCTCTAATAACTTGCAGGGTATGGACGTAAGTGAAATAGGTCTATAGTTGGTTACGTCTTTCTTGGACCCCTTTTATAAATAGAAGAACTGTATGTGCAATTTTCAGTCGTCTGGTGAGGGCACCGGAGGACAAGACTGTGTAGTTTACGTGCAGGTAAAGAGGAAATTGTACGCTCAGCACACTGCCTTTAAGACTCGAGGTATGAAATTCTGTCCGGTCCAATTGCCTTATTATCGGTGTGTTTGTTTAGTAATGCCCTAATTCCATTCACACTTAACTCTACTGATGGCATTTTCGGCACGAAACTTGTGCATTGCGAAGCACTAGAGCTATATTTCGGCAAGTATATGGAAAAGAA